CAAGACCCAACACCACCTCTCTACCAATCTTTACAGAGACTTCAGAATTCAGCTTCCTCTTGCAAGTATAATGACAACCTAAGGGCTATTCTAAGCAAATAATTATGAGCTGCACAACAATCAACCCCCAATACTGAAATTAAATTCTTGAATAGTATGCATATTGTAATTTAATAAAAAGTAGAAGTGACATCCAAGAGCTGCAGTAAAAAGGCAAGTGATACCTCTGAAACTAATAAAAAGTGAAGTGTCTGATCTTGTATGCATTTGTTGCCATAAGGGTTTTAAACCAAACACTTCCATCTTCAAGTGTACTTGCAGAGTAGAAATGTTACAGTGGTAGGGCAAAATATTTTGTTTGAAATGCAAGTATAATATCAAACCCAGGTTTTTCCAAATTGAAAAACATGAATCCTCAGAAGCTGCGCTAGACAATCCATTTGCAAAACCTCTATGAACTGCGTGGAATTACGCAGCTGTTACAACAGGTTACTTCAAATAAATTAAATGTAGTAGGAAATAACTGCTGTGCACGTACAGGTGCACTCCGAGCACTAAGTTTGTACTGCAGCAGCAGATGGCTATACATCCTGACCTCTGAGATGCCACACTCCTCAAAGGGTGCTAAGATGTTGATAAGAGTTGTGGTTGTTCATCACTTTTTATTATCAGAAACATACATAAAAAGAAACCAAACCTCCCATGTCACTGTTTTCATTCCTTCTACAGCTTTAGACATTTTATTTTTTATGATGAAAACAACAATCCAATCAACTGTAAGCTTCTGCACATTATCATTTGCTACCTCAAAAGCATTTTACATGGAACTAATCCACATTATATATGAAAAATAAGAAAGCTATATGAAATCTTATTAATCTAGTTCTGAGTACCACAACATACATCTCTGCTCCATCAACAGACAGCAAATAAATTTGAACCTGCCTCTTTCTGCATAAGCAACAAGTTGCACATCCAGTTAAAACCTTTTGCCTGGGGCTTCCTTTATTTTTATAGGTAATGTCAAAATAAGTTTTTCTTCTCAGTATGTTATATATTTGGACATAAACCTTAACTAACATGTAACATTGGGATCCTGCACAATAAAGGATAAAACTTCACTGAAGAGATTCTTGGTGCTTGTGGAATCATAAGCAATTGGAGAGAAACTACAATGGATCTGTTTCACAACATCATCCACAGACAATGTAAGAGCATTCATCCTGAAACACATTAATAATTTAAGAAGCAAAACAGAGTTTTACTCTTTAAACTACTGCAGCCAACTGCAAAACCTACAGACTTCTGTTCCTTGTTCTTCTTAAACATCTGAAGCAGCATTTCTGAATAAGAACTCATCTAAGCCAAACTCTGAATCTAGCCAATATTTCATACTCTACAAGAAAGAAGAGCTTTCTGTCTGGGAGGCTGAACTGGATGAGATATGCTTTGAAGCCCTGTATAAAAGCTGAGCTCCTACAGACTGACTCCTTGCTAAGCCTCTTAACTCCTCAGTTTATCCACCTGCCTGCTTCAGAGCTTTTTACAGAGGTGAAGTTAACTTCAACCAGGGTGTCAATCACCAACTTATCAATTTCAGAGGGGTTATAACCATCGCACTAGCTAGGAAGGTTACAAATAACACGTCTCTGCTCACTGGGCTTAATACTGACATGTTCCAACATCTTCAAGTACTATCAAGAAAATACAGAAGCAGCTCTATGATGCCATTAAGACTGTTAGGTGGCCCTGTTCATTTTAGTTGACCTACCGAAATAAAACAAACAGCAAGATTAAAAATCAAATGGAGAGGAAACTCTAACCCTGCAACAGAGATCTGCTGTAAGGATAACAAATCAGAAAGGTTTCAAACAAAAGATAACTGAAGAAGAGCAGGAAGAAAGAAGTGATCCAGATACAGTGGCAGAGAAAGAACTACCAAAACAAACAACAAAGAAATAGTACCTCAATACTATAATTGCTCATGGGAAACAGGAACAATTCCAAGCAAAGATCTTATCATAGAAGGTTACATTTAACCGCCATCCTCCTTAAAGCTAGCATGCCTAATCCACAGAAACAGGGCTTGTAATAAGCCTAGTTCCTTATAAACATGGTAAAAGCTTTACCTACTTAGTGGTTGACCAGAGGAATGTTGAGAAGCTTGTCCAAGTTCTCACAGTGGTTCACAGAAGAACCACCTGCTGGAGACCACCACTGTGCTTACAATAAACCTTAAGGATTTATGCCAAGATGAATTCTTAACTTCCACCATGAAATACTTAAACCAGTCATTTTCATTAGAAAAGAAACAGGCTGGTGAGCACAGCAAAGCAAAAAGAAAATACCATCATTCAAGTGATTCTCCAGCCTGAGAGACCAAGTAGTCATTGGATTATTTCATCGCCTTGGACTGCTTTGGCAGAAGTCTCTCACAAGACTTTTAGCCTTGCTATGAGCTATCCCAATGCTGGGATATTTCAGACAACAAATGAAAACTTTTAGGAAAATCTGGATACAATGTAATTTTAAAAAATCTACATAAGCATGAATAAATGAGGGCAGAATTAATAATCTTGAGAACAGAAATTAGTTAAAAGTCCAAAGTAGGCTAGCAAAATTTTTATTACTTTTGGCTCACAGCTCTTCTCTCTGTGCGCACTTACTCAGATATGCTGACTTTGCAAACAAAAATCAATTTTACTGCTTTTAATTTCTATGCGGGCTACAGTGCCTAAAGAGCGATGACAACTCAACTAGTTTAACTTTTGGCTAATGCACCATGGACAAAATCACTAAGCAAATTCCACCTATAAGCCATTCCAGAAATCACACACTGGTACATCATAAATGTTTTCTGACTACATATTTAGTAGCTCTCAAGTCCATCACTGTTAATCAGAGACTCAAGGCTGAGCAGAAGAGGCACAATTACATTTTCAAAACATCTCCAAAATGCCCTTGCAAAGCATATGACTGAAAGGGGAAAACAACATTCAACTTACAAGTACAAAGTTTGAAACTTCAGTACCAGGAAAGAAGAATGCCATTCTTACTGAGTCACTTTTAAAATTTGGATAAATTACATGTACCTATTTATACACACATATTACTGATTGAGTGCATTGAAAAACAAAACACTGGAAAGTCAGGTTACAGAAAGTTTTTTGTACTTTAAAAAACAAATCATTAGATTCTCACAGAAATCTCACACCTGGTGCAAAACTGAGACAGAAATAAATATTGTGAAACCAGCTTCTACAAAGTTAGAATAAGGATGACATTTTTTTATTACACATTACTTGTAAAGCACAGGTGCTAAAGAAAACATTAAGAAATACGAGAGTTAATCAAGAGACTAACTGAATTATTAATTAAAGCAATTTTAGCAAAGAATTGCTGCAGTACAAACACAAGTCTATTGTATCCGTGAATGTACTGTTCCCATAATGAGTTTTATTTATGGCATATAATTTCTCAGAAACTTTGTACAGACCTCAGGAAATTCATGAGCAAATCACCACGAGTAGAACATGTGGATCAGAGCAACACACTGTCAACATAACTCTGTGACATATGTCACTTCCTGTGACTTCTGCACAGACAGCAACTGAACTGATAACCACAGAGAGGTTCAAATCTGACATCTTTATTGTCTATTAAATTTAGATAAATCCTTATAAGGGAAAAATAGGTCATGCTGTCCTCTGACTTGTTTCTACATTCCCATTACAGCCTTGATTCAGTTGTCCATACTCAGATGTGCTTGCCCACCTGAGAGGCCCTTGGGGAGGCCAAGATATGATAAAAGATGGCAGGTGAGGCACAAAACCGATGGAAGGTCTGTATCCTGACTAGATATCAGCCTAAATGAGACCATCTCAAATGGCACTAGGTACCTACGTGCAGCAATCTAAGTGGAGCTTCCACATCAGATTCAGCTCCACTGCTGGATGCTCAACACCACACAAACAATACCTTTAGGTGACCAGATGAGGTGAATGCCAAGCACCCACTGTTGTCAGTGGACTTAAAAGAGAGCTACTGAATTCATTCTACGGCAAATACCTAGAGCTCGTCACCTGAGCAGCTCACCTGATTCCTCTGACTTTACAGACAAAACTCCCACTGGTGGTCAAGCATGGACATCCTTCAACCCTAAAGCTAGGTGGGATGATTACCAACATAGGAACCACAGCTTGACCCATGTAACTTAAGGCAAATAAGCTCATCAAAATATTGCTAGGACAATAATCACTGTAGTATCTTTTATAGGCAATACAAAGAGATAGATGCCTTCAGAGTCTGAGTCAGATAAATNCTCAGCCACAGCTACCCATATCCTCCAAAGCACACAGGAATATGTTCAGTCTTTCTTAGTGATGGTTGTAGTTAACTTATACAGCCATATGTTCATGTTGCCATTAGCTTTATTTCTGTCTCCTGTTGCTTCCTGTATTGTTCATTTTCATCTTCTTTCCTAGTGCGTTATAAACCTTAAGACAATATCCTCCCTTAATCACTTTTTTCAACAATGCTTAGTACAATGAGACCCTAAATGGCAAAAAAAGTAAGAATCGTGCTGTCTGATATTTATTTAAAACAAAATTCAGCACACCCAGATAAACTCTACAAGGTCACTGGCACTGAACAGCCATCAGACTGGATCCAGTACTTGAGATAACCCAGATAACCCCAATAGAGCAGTACTATCAGTCAAGTTAAGGCTCTTCTTAGTCTACTATTTTAAGCAATGGATGCCAAGTTTAAACAAGTTGTGCAGGAGAAAAAATTGATAACAAAGGAGGTAAACACCTTCAAAACTGCATGATCAGAAAAAAAAATTTCAAACATTTGTTAGCATTTAGGTATACATACGAAAAAACTGCATGTCTGCCATTTGTAAAGCTTGCTAAATTGTGAAAAACACCAAAGACAAGTGAAACACCAGACCAAAAATACCAACCTAACTATCAAAAAAATTCTAAGAATAAAGTTACCTTGCTCCAACCTAAAGCATAGGGAACGTTTTGCAGCCTCTGTCTCAGGAGTTGGATGATCCAGAACACGCCTGCACCACTGCAGAGGATTCAATGATTTCTCTTGAGAAGTGTGAGTCTTGGTAGGCAAGACGTACAACCTTAACCAAAATACACAAAAATATCAGCAAGATACGCAACACTTAAAAGTTGGTTTTTTAAGTTCTTATCTATTAGCTATTAATAATGTATAACATACGGAGCCTTGCAAGAAGATATCTAATTAAAAAAGACTTTCTGGGGTAGAAGAGTAACATTAGTTTTCTTCCTTCCCTCCTCAGAAAACTAGGTGGCAAAATACAAACTTTACAGCTCTGGCATGACAAAACAAAGAACGAGATTTCACATTAAAATCTTCCATCTCATCACTACCACTGTCTTCATTCCAGCACTGCCCAAAGTTCAAATGTATTAGGTGCTATACACATACAAAAAAAAAGGTGCTCTCACTTGTCCCTTTTATACTAATCTTTATTGGACATAAGACAATTTCAATATTTGATTTTATATTTAAATCACAATTTCACTGTTAACTATTTCACACCTTTACCTATCACAATTTAATCACCTTATTATATATAATAATATATATAATCACCTTATTTCCTATATTATATATAGAAAATTACATATATATTATTTTCATACACCATATCTTCTCCCAAATGAATCAAATGTTGTATCAGTCATATTTGTAAAGATTACAAAACATTTGGTGAGAAAGAATGAAAATCCATTTTCGATATTCAACTCCAGCAGGAAAAAAAATATATGCAAGAAAATCTAGTGTATGTGCCTTATTCTCAGACAGGAGCAGACAATTAATCAGATGGCCAGGCACATTAGGAAGCCAGGTACCAAAGCAGATTTCATGGGGGAATTCTTGAGGCTGAGATCTGGGTTGCTGCTGTCAACCCTGGCAGATTAGCAAGCACAGCAGACTTGATTCACCTGGGAGAGCGCAAATCTCCTGGGAAGCAAATTATTCTTGGCTGCTGGAGACAACAAAATGGCTTGAAGGGACCTTAAAAATCATCTTGATCCAACTCTCCTGCCATGGGCAGGAAAACCTTCCACTAGTCCAGATTGCTCAGAGCCCCATCCAATCTGGCCTTGAACACTTCCAGGGATGGGGTGATGCCTTAAGCCTCTAATGTTTTTTTATTTTCCTAATATTTGTAAGACTTGTAAGTTTCATAAGTAGTGGAAGTAGACTCTAAAAGCAGTCTCCCTTACATCCCTTTCTCTGTAGCACCCTTGTTTACACATTCCTTAATGCTCTTACCCCATTCTATGCTCCCTATATCAATCCTACTCCCGAATCCAGTAGAAATGTTCAGTCTTTTGTCAAGGCAAGGCCTAGATTGTTGGCAGAACAGCATATCAGGGCCTAAACCACACAACACGGTCAAAAACTGGGTAACTATGTACCCTTTGTGCTCTGAGGGAGATGAAGATGGGATGAACAGGGGGTCCCGAAATGCACCCCAGATCCATTTTCAGGGGGTGGACCCAGGGCAGACCAGAGTAAAGGCCACAGGGTGGACACATTTGGGATTGGATGGATGGTATTATAAAATGTAACCTCTCGGGCACAGGGGCGCGTCTTGTAACATCTTAGCCTTGGCAAATAAACCCTTTCTTATCTCACCCCTAATTAACTGCTCTGGAGATTTTTCAGCACTTAAATCCCACGGCAACAGGGCATCCACAACTTCATTGGGCAACCTGTTCCGCCACCTCACAGTAAAGAACTTCTTCCTAATATCTAAATCTTGCAGCTCCCTGGCCTGACCACCTCCAATACCTGGGGCTCAGCAGATACTCAGACACCAGAACACTCTGTAGACAGCAAAGGAATCTGGCCTGCACACAGCAGGGGCAAATGACAAGACCAAAAAATAAACAGGATTTTGTTCCTCAAGGGATACTAGCAGGTAGCAGCAGCCTTTCACCTTCACGGTTTTGGCTCAAGAGCTACCTAAGTCCCACCAGAGCAAGCACTCTCCAGTGTCTGCTCCATGGGGGTTTTTTGCCTTTGAAGTCAAGCAGCACTGTCTGTCGAGCTTACAAAGAATAAATATCCTCACTTCGACTGCTCTCTTGGCAATCCCAGCAGACATCAACTACTGAATTTCTCTGAGGAGAGGACTCATTTCCCCAGACTTCCTGCACTGCCTGGCCACACATTTAAAAAATGATACTGAAAAAAAACAAAAAGCAAAGAAAAGCTTTGAGCTTTATTGTTAACCTGCAGAACTGCTTCAAAAGCTAAACATCTAACTGATGATCAGACCTTCCTGTAAAAAGCTCAATGCCAAAAAGTGGTTTGATATCTCTGCAGTTCCACAGGGTCAGTTGTTTTATGTTTTTATGTTTTTTTTTATAACTGCAGATAAAAAAAACCAAAACACACACAGACACACAAAAAAACCTAAACCAAAAACCACCAAAGGTATTTAAGGCCTAAAACTACCAATCAACAACTATGATATGCAGTGGGCTTTAGCTTTCCAGACAGCCATTAACGGCTAAAACAACTCACTCTTAGTGGAATAAACTTGTTAACAAATCCCTATGATGAAATTCTGCCAGTGGACATGTGTGTGTGACAAAGGTAAGTTCTCATGCCCAAAAAGCATTTAGGATTGCTCCCAGAGAGCAAATAGAATTGGGAATTTTACTAAGGCACAATGCAACATTGACTTTCTACCATTCTTAAATGTAAACATGGAAAACATTTTGTTTAACAGGACATGATCAATCAAATTTGCTATTCCTTAATGCTAAGAAATCTAGCAGTTAGAACCAATGGAAAATTTGATTTAAGTCTGGACTGACAAGCCCAAACCAGCCCTGCACAGACTAATCGTACCCACAACGTAGCAACACTGACAAAAATCTCCATGCCATTTGTAGATGATTCTCAAAAGCAATTTTCAGAACTATGGTATTGTGTACCACAAAGCAAACACAACCAGCACTCAGAAGCATTTATGGCATTTGAGTTAATTTTTGAACCCTTCCTCTTTTACCAAAAATAAGCACATTTCAGCTGCTTTATACTCAGTTGACATAAACTTTGTCTCAACTCAAAAACTAGTCTCATTAAAAATACTTCATTGAAGCTTTGACAGATACTTAAAATAGTTATTTAAATATAGATAATTTACATATTCTTATTGACACTTCAAAACTATTCAGGATCAATTATATTTAACATGGTTACACGGCTAAGATAGTATGCCAGCACTGTCCCTACGATGTTCGTCCACGTTGCTGAAACAGGTTTTGAGGCACCTGCCTTACTTATTTATTTATCTGTAGCTTGTAATTTCCCCTTCTATTTGTTTTTAAGTGAGCGTAACCATTCCTCCAGGTTGATTTTATTTTCTGCTTTATTCATTCGCTAGTCGTTTCCGATTTATTTAATTTACTAGCACCCTGCCGTGCCTTTTGGAGCTTCGTGGGCGCGTTAAGATACACAACAATTTAGATCAATGTCTGAAAGACAAAAGCCCTCCCAAATCCCTGAAGATGGGAGACAACTGGGCAGAGATTTTAGGATGAGGAGGCAGCGCTGCTCAGATCAAGGCTTTCCCGGAACAAAATTCGGCTATTTTTAATTCCTTATGTAAACAGGAGGCTGAAACTAGGCTGAGATCTGAACCATCTACCTCAGAGTGGAAAACGAGCACTGTTCCCCCGAGCCGGGGGTTCAAGACTCGACCAGAGCCGCGTCCCGTACACTGGCCCCTTCCCTCGGCAAGGCCGACCGCACCGATGGCACGGTTTAGAAGGAGGGAAGAGGAAAAAAGAAAGAAAGAAAAAAAAAAGAGCTGATTTCAGTCTAAGCAGGGAGATCAAGTGGATTTGGGGGCTAATGCTAAGCAGTGCCGGGAGACCGCCGCGGGAGGCCAGGCCGGGGGGCGACCGACACACGGGTCCGGGGGGCACAGCCAGGCCGGGGCGGGGCAGGGCCGAGCCGCATATACCAGGTATCCTCGTCCTCTCCGCAGCCGTCCTCCAGCTCCAGCACCGCCACCTCGTCCAGCACCGTGGCCGCCGCCCCCGGACCGCCGCCGCCTTCCAGCCCGCCGCCGGCCGCCGGGAGGCCGGGCGAGGGCTTGAAGTAGGCGAGGGGCTCCGGCGGGCACAGCATGGTGGGCACCGGGCTGGGCATGCACGGCGCGGCCGGGGCGGGGGGGCTGGCGGGGCGCAGCCCTCCGGGGGCCGGCGGCGGGGCCAGCAGCAGGTGCGGGCTGGGCGGGCCGCTGGTCACGGCGGCGGCGGCGGCGGCGGCGGCGCGGCTCCGGAGCTGCTCGTTCTGCTTCTCCAGCTTCCGCACCAGCTCCTGCAGCTTCTTCACCTCCAGCTCGGCGCTCACGCCGGGGCCGGCGCCGCTCCCTTTCACCTCCGCCATCATCGCCGGCTTCAGCAAGGCAGCCTCCATCCTCCCAGCCCGCTGCCGCCGCGGCCGCCGGCACCTGCTCCGCCGCGCCGCCGGAGGGCAGCGCCCGGCCCCCGGGGGAGGCGGGAGCGCCGGGGAGCGCTGCTCGCAGCGCTGGGGGCCCGGCCCGGCCCTGCGGTGCTGCGCTGCCCGCCCGCCCCCGCTCCGCCGCCGCTCCTGCGCCTCCCGTTAACGGCAGCGAGGGCGCGGGCGGGATCCCCACCCACTCCGGCAGCCGGAGCGCCGCGCACACGCACTCGGCAGGAACAAAGAGCCGCCCGGCGCCCCCGCCATCCAGCCGTGGAAAAGCCGACAAGACCCACCTCCACGGGGAGCCCCAGGTCTTTAAACAAAAATGCCTTCCCCCCAGCGCCCCGCACCGCACCCCGCCCCGCCCGCGGGCTGGAGCCGGCCCCAAGCGCTGCGCCTCTCGTGAGCCGTGTAATTAGAGCCTGGTGGTGTCAGGGTGGTAATTACGCAGATCGAGTGTGAGGGGAATGGGAATCACAAGTAGAGGCTTTGTTGGGCTTGAAAGGAGCTAATTCAGCCAAAACCCGTGTGTTCGAAACGTGCTGATTCTGGGAGTTTTGGTTCATAGCGAGGAAGGCGACGTATTTTTGAAGCTGCATTGCTGGTGAAGCAAGAACACGGAACCAAGCATTGCAGAAAACTGCATTAACTATGTAATTGTTGATGTATAGGAGAACACCTGAGGGGGAAGATGTCTTTGTATTGAAATGTCTTCCTTTAACACAGTCCTGATTCGTAGGTGGACTTGTAACATGCAAATCTTTGCAAAAGAGGTGAGTAACATTCACTCACGGTAGTGTTTTTACATTGTCCTTCATTGTCCAGCATTGTAAGAAACCATTGCTTGTGTCCTTTCCTTCCACCTAGGAGGTGAGCCGAGATTCAGTGTTGCCCAAGACTGCTCAGCCATCACACAACCCTCATTGAGTTCATTTCCTCTAGCCATATGAAGAGGAGACATAACCTAAATAACCATCTTGAAGTTACAAAATTGGGAACAAATCTCAAGGAAGCCAGGGGAGGTTTAGATTAGATATCATGAAATATGTCTTCACGAAAAGGGTTGTCAAGCACTGGAGGAGGCTGCCCAGGGAAGTGGTTGAGTCACCATCCTGGAAGTATTGAAAAGATGTGTAGACGTTGCACTTAGGGACATGGTTTAGTGGGGACTTGGCAATGCTAGGTTAACAGATTTGATGATCTTAGAGGTCTTTTCTAAATGATTATGTGATTCTAAGTACGTAAGTTGTTTGCCTACCCATTAATAATAGCTATTAGTCACTACTCAGTTCTTGAGTATCAGCTTTATGCAGAGCAGTAGCCTTATCAACCACTGGTGCCTTCCCCATGCTTTTTTGCTGGCTCAGATTTCTTGTGCAAATAGAAACAGACATTATTTTTCTGGGCATAAGTCAACTTTGAAATCATCCAGCCTGTCACGCTTCTCTCTCTTTTGTTTATAATCTGGAAACTTTCTTCTGCATATGCACAGGGCAACAGCACTGTTGTTTGTTAGTCTTTCAAACACTCTTGTAGTGCAAGTAATACCTCCCAGTCTTATAAGAAGGACTGGAAAGGAAGATAGAGCACAGCACAAAGCGTTGACTTCCAGATGATGTAACTTTCATAAGTACAGCGCCCAGTGTACTACTTTGCCACCAGATAGCACTTAATCTAAAACTTTTGTTGGTATCTCCTCTGTCCCTTTGGAAGAAGAAATGGAAAAATGTTGAGAGTAAAAATCATCTGGCTCTAATTCTGCTGTGTGTCATTAGAGTGAGTAATAAAATCCAGTTTTCACTGCTACAGGTAGCTGTAATATTTATTTCCAGAGGTAAAAGAGTTGAGTTTCTATATGTTTAGCCCTAGACAAAATGGGCTAAGGTTGTTATCACTAGTAATGGTACTAGCCTTAATTCTTAGAAGTGCATTGTTCATCCAGTAAGATTGCAAAGTGATTTAAAAGATGAATTAGGAGCATATGTAATATGGAGTTTATTGACATCAGTAACATACAACGAAAAAAAAGCCAAGAAGAAGTTTATAATAAGAGTAGTGCTGGATGATGCAATGAGGTGAGAAGGTTCAGTTAGATGTTATAAAATAAATTTGCACTGAAAGAGTGGTTAATCACTGCAGTAAGTTGCCCAGGGAGGTGGAGTCACCATCTCTTGAAGATGTGTCACTTGAGTTTATGGTTTAGGAGTGATTATGGTGGTACTGGGCTACTGGTTAGACTAGATGATCTTGAAGGTCTCTTCCAACTTCGATGATTCTGTGGAATACTCAAAAGAGATTCAGAATGGAGGAATCACTTTTTTTCTTTGAACTAAGCAGGTCATTTAGTGAACGAGCAAAAAAAATGGGAAATGGATATCTGATGCTTTCAGTTGTCAGTACAGGAATATGACAATATGGTCTGGATATTGCATAATTTAAAAAATCTTGATGCAGACATCAGTTTGGAGATGCACCAGGAGACACATTTGAAGACACACTAGAGCATATAACATCATGACATAGGATCTGAAGAGTCACCATGGAAATGCTTTACCTCAGTGAGTACAAGTAGTTGCAAATTTTCAAATGCCATCTACTGTTTGTGCCACCTGTGCAAATGCTCCATGCAGACACTTGTTTCAGAACTGAGTTCTAAAGAGAGAAAGCTTAGGACTGAGTATAGTGTCTTAGCATGGGTACAAAAGCTGTTCCAGGCAGTTCAGATGAATTGAGCATAGGGAGGAACAGTGTTATTACATCTGGTCCCCAAGAAAATGGGGCAGAAGATTGATTGGCTCTTTCTTTACTGGTCTGCTGTAAGCCTGATTTCCATCCAGCAGTATGGGTAGAAAGCAGCTTAAACTTGTGTGTGCTTCAACTAACATGCTCACAGCCAGTGTGAGAAACCCCCTTTTTTCCAGGCATTACCTGGACAGGTGGATCTAGTAAAGGATAGGAATGCATTTAACCGTGTTGTATTTGTTGCTCTATTTTAAGTGCACTAACATATAATTCCACTAATACTGTAGCTTCACAAAGAGGTGTTGGCAGGTAAAATGTATGTTGATGAACACGCTGTCTCATGGTGTTCATGCTGGTCTGCTTGTCTTCTGCAAAGATGATTTGAACACCTTAGTCATTAAAATATTTAACCTAATTTTGGGGGGTTTCAAACACAAATTATTCTGCTCCCAATATTTGCATTACTAATAAATTGTCAATGAGCTCCATTCAGTATCCCAGCAGTAGCTGATGAGTTTGATCAACCCAGAACTTCATCAGCACTTTACAAAGCACATTGAAGACTTGATGGTTCCATTCATTTTTTTAAGGCTTAGATAAAATTTGTCTAACACCAAACCCAAACATGATGATGTGCCCATGAAACCTGTTATTCCTGGACCGGAGAAATTATATGCCTTAAATCTTCTACAGGATGCTACTTACACAGTGTCCTATAGTAAGAATTTCTGAATCAGTATAGTTACTAATAGGCTGCCAATGCAGAGAACAAAGAAGCAGGAAGTCCACAAATCCCATCTGCTCTTTTCTGATAATAAGCCTGTTGCTTTATACTGCAATAGCTGCAGGCTGGACCTGCCTTTCAGGCAAGCCAGTAAAGAATTAATTGCAGTAATCCAGTCTGGGTTATACAAAGGATGTGTAACAATAAGGTGAGAGGATGGACAGTAAATCTGGTGAGATTATTTTAAAGTACAGTTTCAGTCTGAAAAATCACTGTGAAAGTAGTTTTATAAAAAGAGAGCCACTACCATGCCAGCAGAAGTCATCTAATCGAGTATTCTGCTTCTAGCAAAGGCTGATAGTAGCTTTGTAAAGAAAACATCTCAGAAACAAGAAGAATATTGAGGTATTTTCTTCATGTTTCAGAAGCTGTCAAATCAGGACATCTGGATCATTTATTTTCGATAGCCACTGATGTGTAATAATATTCCATTTGCTGAGTCCCATTTTTAAACCATTTAAACATTAGGGCTCTACAACACCCTGTGGCAATTAAAGCTGCAATTTAATAATGTTATAAAAACTGCTTCTTGTTATCTACTTAAAATCTGCTGCCTAGTAATTTAATTGGGTGCCCCTTATTCTGGCTTTCTGAGAAAGACAGAATGATTAATCATTCCCTATTCAGCTTCTCTTTGTCATTCATGACTATATAAAACTCAGTTACTTTTCTTCCCAGCTGACAAGCCCTAATTTATACAGCCTTGCCCCCACAGAAGTCAGGCTGAACCTCCCATTGTTTCCTGTCTCCATAATGAAAAATGAATTTTCTAACCCATTGTTTTCTTTCTATTCTTACTCCATGTTTTCTTATGTCATGATAGTTTAGGGAAAGACTGTGAAAAAATTCTTGTAAATCCAGGTGTACCCAGTTAAAGAAATTGGCTTAACAGAAAGCATATTGACTTTTTCAGAAACACTCATATATTCATGAGCATGCTTGATGTAAAAAATCAGTGTGGACTCTTCTCCAATATATCATACATATCCAGATGCCTCTGTATGCTGTTATTTATTATAATTTGTAGAAAATTGGCTTGATAAAAAATCAGAATAACTGAAATGTAGTTCACCAGACCAGTTTTCATGTATTTTTCAAGTCTGATGTCCCAGCTGATGCTTCCAATTTGTTGGGGACCAAGCCTGCTTTGAATGGTAGGGTAAATGGTTGTGAGAAGTTCAACAATGTCCCATTTGGGCTTCATAGAGTTTTTGCATAGATACTACCTAGACCTAGCAATTTGTTATTGTTAGATTTATACATTTGCTTTGAAGTATTTGAGCAATTAAACATTTTCTTGGAGTTACAGCATGGATTTTGACTTCCTAACTGTTGCTAGTTTCATGCTAATTGACTTTCTCTTTTTTATACTGTTTCCTTTTCTGAACTACCATGATTCCTTATGGCTTTTTCCTTATTTAATTAATATTAAATTGAAGTACATTGTAGTCACTATTAGAATGGATTTACTATAGAATCCAATCCAAAATTGCATCATTATGGTGAGCCCCAATTGCTCCAGAAAATCAGCGTTTGTGGTATCAAAAGGTACTGTCTGTGCATTAAGTTTAGGGTCTGCTAGTTTGTAAATCCATCTAGACAGAATTATACATGACAGCTCTAATTCAATGGATTGTTATTTTATTTTAACTAATCAGTTCTGTATCAAGTCATTCTGAGTTTCAAATGCTTTAGACCGTCCCCTTCCCTTCCCTTGCCTCACTTCTCCTCTCCTCTTCCCTCACCTCCTTTTTAAACAGTCCTGGTGATCTCTGCATTAAAACCTAGAAATCAGAATTCTCAAAGCATGTGCCCTCCTCTGACTGGGTATCTGGGATGTCTCTCGCTAGAGTGAAAGAGGCAGAAAAAATACTGCTCATTCCCAGCTTTCCTTCTTCAGCTTTCCACCGATGTCATTCATATAAAATTGGTGTGCTTGCTCCCGTAGAGAGTTTTGCTGTGAGAAAACTGCTGTTTTGCTACAAAAGGCTTTACTGTTACTTTTATGCATGTTACTTTGGTAAATGGATAAAATCAATGTTCAGTTTTAAAAACAGATAAAAACAGTGTTCAAATACATTATCAGTCATATACTTCCCAAATATTGTTTAAATATTTGTCTCTTTGAAATTAGAATGCTACAAATACGGTTAGCTGGATTCTCATTCTTAATTCCAAGATTTGAATTACATACAGAGATAATATAATTCAAAGTTCCATGGGTAAAAATTCCCTCAAGGAACCAGAAAATATGAAGACAGACCAATGTTTTCTGGAATATTCGTCTTACAAGCAAGTTTGACTATTAATTTCAATGGCACCATTATTTACAGCAACACTAGTACTTTTAAAATTCCTTATTTGGCTTATTTTCATAATGCTTTCATCTTTTTCTGAATGTTTTCTCACTTTTCTGCTTCTTTTAGTATTTGAACATGTGGAAAAATATCCTGAATGCTAGAAAAAGTTTGCCTTTTCATTCCAGAAATTATGATGTCTTTTTTTTTTTTTTTTCCTGAGTAGGTAGTTTTAAAATGTTGTCTGCCTATTATTTTGACTGCAATAGCTGTCTAAGTTCCCTAAACAGATGTCTGATGATTGCACAGCAATGCCAAGACTCAGACAAGTGCTTTTGGCATGATTACATTCAGATATTGATTTTAACAGGACAAAACCAGTCATTTTTAAGTCTTGGCACAGGCTACGAGACTGTAGTTGTCAGTTTATAACTGACACAGTTATAAAAACCCCACAAAAGATAGTACATTTTTAAACAGCTTGCTTGGAAAGGGAGGTGAAATCTAAATTTTTCTTGGGTCACTTACACAGGTGCAGCAGTACCACCCAGAGGCCACTGCTGTGCTGGGCACTGCTCAAGCAGAAGATAGTTGCTGTCCAAAAGAGCTCAGAGACTGGAAAGACAAAGATACTAAGGCTTAAAAGAGCTCATCATATGAAAACACTTCTAGTACTCTTGTATTAAACCTCCCAGAATTCCACTCCCTCACCATCCTACTCCAGCCAAATCTGATTGACAACTCCTCTAATGTTGCTAGAAAGGGACACGGCATTAACAGAAATAAACAGAAATTCATTCACACTGCTTTTAATTATTAGCTAGACCACTAGGATGAGATGGTGAGATTCCAGGATTTGGTCTTTGCTCCCAGGACTATATGTTTTCTATTCAGCAGTCATGCATGAGGTATTAAGAGGCATATAGCATTGTGGCTATCCTGTGGAACATGGGCCATAAGGATCCACCCTGCACAGGTGAGGGTGCAAAAACGTTATGGAAGCATCTTGTTTATTCCTCTCAAGGGCCTATTCCACTGTGTTATGCAATTTGGTTAGGTACATTGAGGGAGAAATTGAACTTGGCACTCCCGCTTTCTGGGCCGAGTTCATGTGTTCAGATGGAGAACACCATCTCCTTGGTTTTAAAAGCTGGTAGTTACCAAGATTTTTGAGGAGGTCTGATTTTAGCAGTGTGCCAAACACATTTTGAAAATATCTACAGGTTCTTCTCCCTGAAATGCAAGAAATGTTTGTAAGTCCTAGTTTTACTGATGCCAGAGATTAGAGCTGAGTTGCTCAGACCAGGCAAAGCAGAAAACAGGGGAGGAGGCCTTTGAAATCAAAAAAGGAAATACCTCATTAGTTCAACTCAGTTCTTTTTCTATTTAGCAGCTAAACGAAGCTGTTTGGTCAACAATTTCAGACTTTGGCACATGAAACCAACCTAAGTATTAAATCTCTTTATCGAATGAAGGATATTTCTGCTGTTACACTGCTGTGAAGAAAAATGAGGTGTTTTGGTGCAGCAGAAGGAAGAAAAGGATGCTGCATTTCTCCCTCGTAGTCTGACATCAACTAGACTGGAAGCTAAAACCATGTCCTGGTGTAACAGAGTAGTTACAATGAGCAATATGCAAGTATGATTAGAAAGCAAAACCAAGGAAGAAAGCAGATACTTTTCACTGTAAACAACAGGATTTGTACAAACAACAGGATTATGTTAAACTATCAAGGAAGGCAAGCAGAGTAGCAGAGTTCTGACCTGGTATGTTCCGAGTAAATAAACTGAACACATTAAGCTATCCCAACACTACATTCATCCCTATACAAAAGAGAAAGGAATAAATGCACTGAATAAATGCAAGGCCCCTTTGATGTTGTCTAGTTTTTTACAAGCCTAGCTAAGGAGGCTCTATGAAGTAATGGAAGGCATGTTTTGTCAAACTCACAGGAATTTTTATTTCAAGAGGAAGAGGATGAGAGGACAACGTTACAGACATTTGTCACCCTGTGTCGAGCACTGCTACGTAGAGATGCACAGGCTGAGCGTTCTGTAAGAACCTACACAGGATACAACAGAATATATCAACACAGCAAAACTGTTCTTATGACATTCCTTGTTCCTGTAAATATCAGTAGCTTCAAAACGGTCTACACACTTAAATGCATCAATATGCATTATATGCATTATTTCACTCCTTTCCTCTTATTGTGTGATTCCCCCACTGTAGAGCTATGCCCCCAACTTTGTAAAATAATGTATCCATTACACACTGAAAAAATGAGCCTGATGAATCACAAAACTCCACATAATTTAGTACATCATCTCTCAATACAGCTTTTCAGTCTAATCTGAGGCATTATTGCAGATAACACGTTCATTAAAACAGCTGCCAGCAAACTGTTCATTTGGATTGTTTCATGGAAGCACTAGTCAAAGGGAAATGAAACACCACATGTTAATGATATGCAAAAAGGACAAAAAACATTTAAGTTTTGATACATTGATATTGAGATGTTAATATGATTTTTCTTAATGAGTACTGCTATGCCAGCTTTTATATGGTAAATCACAAACCTGGTGTTTCTTTTCAGGAAACTTATACAACATATAATAAAAAATAACAAAAAAAAAACCACATGGCAAAATTGCCAGGGCTGTTCAGCACGGATGACTAAATGAGAACAGAATTATTATTTATTGTTTCTTATTGCTACTTCTCTGTGAGTAAGCACTTAAGTAGCAGATATTTTGATCCAGAGCTTGCTCCTGGTCTCCAGTGGAGTGAACTAAAATCTCTCATCCCCTCAAACACTAGGAAGTCCTAGATTCAATTGTGCTGGCTCAAATGAACACGTAACATCTTCCATTGTAACCAGGCTTTAGCAATAACTGTTGGTCTCCGAACAGGACCAAATGTGTGACATTAAAATTCTGCCACTACTTTTCTCACCCTCTTGTGCAAGTCTCATTTTTTCCTGGCGAAGCACAGAGTAACAATAAGTATAGTTTAACTAGGATATGTCATCAGCAAGAGACACACACCAGAAAATATATATATATAATTACAGATTTATTAGAGCTACTGCCATTAATTCATAAGAAATTTTCATAAAATTAACAAAACAAAATATCTACTGTTTCATGGCTCCTTTGCATGTCAGTCTGAAGATCCTTTAAGCCAGACAAGACAGATTACATCATTATTCAGCTGCAGGCCCAATGGTTTAAATTACACAGACATCCATCCATGCCTCCTGTCTCCACTATGAAACGTTCAGTCACTAGTCTAATATTTATCTATGGCTTTGACATTTCACACGCTTCTAAGCTCTTGCTCAGGTCCAACAGCCTCCAAACACTCTAACTCTGTCATGGACATATCCAAGAAGTCCTTTTAAGCTGAGGCGTAAGGAAGAAAAAACTGTTCTGGATAATCATGATCTAAAATGTCTCATGTCAAAGACTAGTAGTCAACCCCTTGTATGTCCAGTAAACTACTCAACTATTGAATATTTTAGGCAACATATTATAACAAAGCATGAATTCCTCTTTCAGTTTCTATACCTTATACACATACACTATCCAAAAAAAAAAAAATGCTTTCACTGTAGTCTTGAAGGAGTTTATCTGACCTAATGTAGATGTGTAGAATTCTGAACTGTTCATTCCAGATTCCTTTGCAAACCATGGCAAATAAGACATACATTCAAAGCATGGTTAACACCACAGTAAAATAGACATTTGCAATCTGACCAATTGAATTGCTTCCTAAAAAAGTCTGCTCCTCTGTGTGAGACAGAATAGATCAAGTAACTCAGAAATAGATGTCTACATTGTATATAAATTTAGGCAAGAGGAATCCATCCAAAGTGTTTAGGTAGTTTAATAAAGTAGGAAAGATAAATACAACAACATAATGTCGTGCAAAGTATGTATTTCATTATTTCATGGCAACTATTAAGTGTGCACCTCTTAAAAAATGGTAATACAATAGTAACAGAATTATAAACATAGAGTGGGATAATTCTACTTAAAACCCTCTAACTATATTTACCTAGAATCCTTCTGCAGTAATAGAGATGCATTTTCCAAAGATGATTTGTTCTGTCTCAGAATTACCATTTAGGTTACTTGGAAAGAACCTTCCTCTGGAGATTGATGTCTCTCCTCAAAGGTACAGCATGAACCCCCTTCCCTTTGTATGAAAACACTAGTTTAAACCAAATAGTTGACCTCCAAATTTTTGATGAGATGAATCCCATTCATGCTATATTAAGCCAACAGATCTTTATATTGGAGGAGATGTGTTTTACACAAAAGAGAATACAGCCCCTTCATAACAAGTGTGTAGGTATGTTCTGACATTCAGAAAATTTCAATAAATTATCATTGGTTTTGCATACACTTTAACAGTTTCACAGATCTGATGAAAATACTGAACAATGTCTCGTTTTGCTTCCTGCAATGTATGTATGAAAGGGCATCTGAATTCCCAATAAATTAATTCCTTTGATAACTATGCAGTAGGACTTCATTTAGGAAATTTTTTCCTAGCAATACAAATGAATAATTTTACACAGTGCTTTGAATTAACAGGCCAATACACTTAATTAAACAACAGTGGAACTTCTTTATCATGAGTTCTGTATGTCAGAATTAGTAGATCCATTTTTCTGCAAGAGAGAAAATATTGGTCAGAAATGCCAAGCAAAGAAGTATACTCTAATTTTTTTTTTCTTTTTTAGAATATCTACTGAAGTCTGAGTGTCCTATCTTGTAATTTGATTAATAAGGACATGTCAATTTATAATGCTTAATATACAGAATCCTGGTATGTCTTTTTACCGTTTTGTAACTATTACAATGTCTTATTAATTTTCTAATCTGATTAATTGCAAAATTCTTCCTGTCAAATTTTGCAATGGCATAACACAAAGTATTCTAATCAAACAAATTTTTAATGTAATTTTAGTTAACACGATCTTATCTTGGAATTATGTTGTTGATAACCAGCTTATCAGAGCATTTCTTCTCCATTTCCATTTGTCTTAAGATGGTACAGAGGTACTAGGTACTGCTTTATATGAAATAATAATTGCTGTGAAGACACAAGATTTAAAATTTGCAGCTTCTAGAAAAATTAATAAAATGTTCATTTGTCCCTGCCTTATACATTTGTTTACTCACTATGCTCCTCACAAAGGTAAGAATGATAATCACAGTATAATATTTTCATTATGACTTAGTAGATTTTGTATCTTCTTTCCAATGGTCACAATTGTTCCACTAGGTGAAAATACCTCTGGACCCTGGCTTAGTCATTTCAGTAGAGCAACCTGATTCTCGGATGACCTTGCAATTTATTCTTCTCACTTCCAGGGCAAGAGGCTATTGTCTCACTCTAGGTGTCTTCATTGACTGCATAGGTAGGACTCTACGGGTTACAATGAGACCTTAAGAAATCTCCCTCACAGATACAGAATAATTGTGTCTAGACTCTCGGGTTGGATATCATCTATCATCCTAAGCTTACTGAATTAGATGCTTTGAAAAAGTTTAAGTATGCAGAAATGAGAAAAGCAACAGCTGTGTTGTACATTCAAGTTGTTTGAATGAAGTTCTCAGAATTGTTCTCCTTATGTTCAGTGCTATCTCGTACATTACCTTTAACTTTGGAATAGCAGGGCTCACAATGCACAGTTTGTCTGTAAATCCAAATGCTGTCTCCTGCTTTTAGATCTTCCAGGGGTCTCTTACATACTTCACACTTCAACACACAATTCAAAGAAAGAAGAAAAATTAAAATGAAACCCTTCTCTAATACTCATTGCCTGTATGCTGTACTGTAGGAACCAGGCAACCCCAGACCAGAATAGGGGTTATTAGTACTGCAATATCATCAAATCTGAACTCTGAAAGAGTAGCTTTAATGAACAGGAAGTTAAACATCTGAATATCTCACCTTTAAACGTCTAAAAATCAGTCTCAATTGGTTCCCTAGGTACTCATTATACTTAACAACCCCGTACTTCCCTGAGACATTTCGAAAGGGTACTTTCTCTGTCTTAGCTTAAAGGTTTATCCTAAAATAAGATGAATCACTATTTTGAGATCCTTTTCTTTCTTCACCAAGTAAAGGAAGCATGATCACACCTAATCATGCAACTCAGAGTAGATCTTAAAGAAACTAAACCTGCTTATTTCAAAATATTTTAAGACACTTATCTTAACACTTAACTATGTCTCCAATTGCAGAATCTGGACACTGCTTTCACAAATGTCTAAAAAAACTAATTTTTGAGATAGGGAAGCATTGTCCACATTTCACATATGCAAATACACAGATACACACAGAAGCTTACTTCCAAAGATCACAAGGAAAGCTGACAGTGGATCAAGGAGCATGGTAATTTGATATATAAACTAGAACCTCAGTACCCAGATAATTTTATCTATTTATTTATTTATTTATTTTAATCTAATAAAATAATAGTAAATTCTGGTTTCTTTGGATATTTTATGCTCTGATAAGTGAAAATCAGCATTAGCATTAAGGTGTTATTAAAACAATCTGATTCTTCACTTTTTTATGTTTCTTTGTTTAAATCACCAAAAGGATGGGCATGTCTTCATGATCTTTTGATCACCAAGATTGGCTAGAATTTTTATACAGAGAAAACCTCCTATAATTTGGATTATTTACTCACAACTTTTGGTATATACCTTTACAAGGAAATGAAGATATTATACTGCTGTCAGCTACGTGCAAATCTCTAATGGATACAGGGTATTTGTAAGGAGCTGAATGAATATTAATGATGAAAAGTTGCACTGTTTAGCTAAATACATAACTACAAGCATGAGCCACAGACCTACATCAGTTGTTTAATTTTTTTGCCAATGCTTTCATAAGTGTGTAGTTACAAAAAAATTAAGATGAATTTTGCTGGCCAGAAAGGTCCCAAATGGAGAATAGGTAGCAAAATAATATAATTTTTTTTAAAAGCATAAATATTTAACAGATAATTCAGCCTATACGAACTTATTAATACTCTTAACTGCATGAAAAGCCCATTCCTCTCTATGTGGGTTGATCCATCTAAAAAGAATGGAAACAAACCAGAGCTTATATTTACCTGCAGTAATAGTATTCATAGTGGTTTCCTGGGAAGAAATTGCATTTCTGGTGCTCAAAGAGCTCAGAAAGTCAATATGAGACAAAAAGCACATGTAGCTTCATACATGTTAAGAGCAACCTTACTGCTGTATTCTGCTTTGTGTTAATTTTCATGCAGTAAATAGGTAAAAGAACTGCTGTCAGAAGCAGAAGTCAAACCTATGCAGGACTGGGCAGAAAAATGAGCTATGCTAATGCAGTGATTTTGCAGAGTATTGTTTGTGAGAACAGCAAACTCTGTGTGTAGATGCAAGCAGAAATAAGACAAATGAGGCAGAAAGAAAACAGACCATAGGACTGAGCACTGCCAGGCATACCCTGAGAAAAGTTTAAGAGCAAATTTTTGGCTGAGGCTTGTGTTTTGGAATGGCAAGCAGAAATAAATTTCCTCTGCTTTCATTTTTAATGGAAATGGGGAAAAAATACCTAGTTTTTAATAATTAAGACTGTTTTAGATGTCACTTAATCAAGAACATCTACCAAACTTCATAAAAAGAGAAATTGAACAAAATTTTATAATACGAAGAAAGTGTAAGTTGAAGATAATTCCCTGTATCAGACTGGAAGGGTGTATAAGTGAAGGCTTCTAAATGTGTGGGACATTCAGGATACATTCAGTTGCATCCTTTATCCTCCTTGTGGTTGTGAGAGAGGAGAGGCAGGGAGAAGGAGAGTAGAGGGAGGAGGGAGAGAAATGGAAAGAAAAAAGAAGGGACTGTGTAGAGCAGAGAGAGAAACAGAGAGATAGTATTTCCTACATTAATTTCCTCCGGTTGGAAGCCTTCCTATTCTTCAAGGTGAAGAAGGCCTAAGGCTTAAATAGTCTTATTATATGTGTAGTATAATGCAGGTATTACATTCAAATCATATTTCTTAGTACCAGGTGAAATCTTCTTACCTTGAAGCAAGTTGAATGACAGCAGATTTGCAAGGCATCTAAGATCATTTTGGCATCTATGCCCAAGGGCTTCCTGCAGTATGTACATATATCTTTTCCAATTATACTCCTGTGTATATAATATAACATCAGCTGTCAGAAAAAGAGCTGCCGTCGAAATCTCAAGCAGAAAAAAATCTCAGCATGCAAGCTTAGTAGGCTGCGTGGGAAAGACATTTGTATACTGTACAGCGGCCATAAATGGAAAAATGTCGTGTGTATTCCCTCCATTCTAGTTGACAAGTGTAATATACATGCTCCTGTGATGGATAAATTGCTGAATGTAATTGTCAAATAGCAAAAATACCTTCATAGAAAGAATGGTCTTCTCTGGTGAACTGAATTAAGCTGCTGAATGTCTGGGAGCATGTATACTAAATAGGGATGGAGTGGAGGACAAGAATTTTAACATTTTAATCACAAAAATAAATTGGTAGTTGTATTGAAACTGCCATAATTTGATCAATCTGTTATAGAATTCACTGTGTTGCTGAAATGCCTGAAAACTTTTTTGATTTTCTGTATGTCAGACAGAATTTATACCTTCATGGCAGTTATAGTGAACACGCATATAGAACAGTATACCTGGTATTTATGACAATAGTACTTTTAAAAATTTTCTCAGCTCTTGTTGCATTCTTACCTAACATCAGTCTGTATCTAGATATAATTGTTGTTGGTTTTGCATTACAAAATCAACTGGCCTTGCTCCTTTCTACTCGATGACAAACCATCATACTAATATTTAATCATTCCCAGAGTTTCTTATAGCTATGTTGGAAAGGATAGAAGTCTTTCTGATTTGGTAATTCCAAGTAATGGGCCTGTTTAAATTATCCTTTAACTTTTTTTTCCCCGAGGTAAGATATTACTAATGGAGCAAATATGCTTCTTATGTTTGGGAATATCTTAATTGTTGTGAAAACATAGTTTTTAACAGCGTTGTCATGTGAACTGATTCCTCTACATCTGGTCATAAAGTTGGTAATTACAGAAACCACTCTCACAAAGGAAGGACATTTTGTAGAGTAAGCAGCTGCCTGAGATAGAAACTACAGACTCACAAAGCCAACCCTATCTTAAAGCAATGGCTATTGTTTCTATAGATATTTTAAAATGTCAGCTGTGACAAGCTTGACATAATATTAGGCTGCTGAGCTGTGGTAATGATTTGATGGCAAGATCCCACTGAAAGAGAATTCTGTATGAAAAGCTGTCTGACAAGCCTAATGGTGACTTCCACTGCTCTCTTTTGTCTGAACACTTGAATGCTTATGCAAATGTCTGTGTCCTTTGGTACTCTACGATGTTATTAATGTGTACGTACCGGTCAGAAGTGGAGTAAACAGTTTTAATAGTATTTCCAGTTATATTTTCTTCATAGGCACCATATGATGATTTGCTGTGAAGCAGAGAGTGCATAGCAATTATTAAACAGTACTTTATATTTTTAAAGGTTTCACTACACTAATGATTATATGCAAATTAAACTAAAGTAACATGCTTGTGAAAAAAAAAAATCATAGTTGGTGATGAGTTCTTTTTCTGTACCTTCACAACCATAAAGAATAATAATATCAAATAAAAAACCCTAAATTAGAAATATAGTGTCCTTAGACTGTGTTTTATTGTTGAATGATTCTTCAGCATTTCAAAATTAAATCCACACAAACCCATTGAGCAAAATTATATGATGTTATTGGGTTTGCCTGTGCTGATATCCCAGCCTGAATGATACGTGTCAGGAAATGGTGACAGATTGCATTTTTTTCCTTTTCCTCTGCTTCTTTCACTTGTCCTCAAAGAGCTTTCAAACAGCCAAACAAAATTACAACGTGGTCCTAGAATTAGAGTGAGGGTCATTATAATACAGGCTGTTCAATGTGTGATTTGTGTTCACTACAATAACTGTATTGTTCCTCATATCGGAATAAAAGGAAATAAAAAGGAATATACTGAACTGTCAGGGAAGTTTAATCTTCCTTTTTTAACAGTCCCATTTCTAAGTTGCTTAACTGTCAGTTTTTATTGCATGGAACGGATGAACATATATACGACAGCTGAAGAAGTCGTTTTGCCCTACATATTTTGAACATTTCTGAACTGATTTAATTATCCTATTCTCCAGAAATTAATAAGGCTTATGGCAATTATTACATGTTCCATTTCACTCTTGAATAATATTCAGCAATGTTAGGAACAACTGTTTATGATCATGTGTATCTGCAAAACATCTTTTTTTACAGGCTTTGCCTGAAATAGACTGATAATGTGTGTGAAAGGTGTTATGAAGCCCAGATACTCTTTTCTACATAGCTGCATTTTTTAATGTAAATATTTCTTATTTGATTTCTATGCAACACCAGAACAAAATTACAATTACTGATAAGCTTAAATGATAAATGTTTTATGTATGTTTCATAGAACATAACAGTGTTGAAAAACACAAAAATGTATATAACCACAAGTTAGGAAAAAAAATAACTGTACTACTGTATAGAAAAAAATAATGAAGCTACAGCAAAAATATTTCCAAAGAATCAGTTTCTAACCTTGTCAACTGAAAGTGTGAGGAAACTCAGAACCTTTTTAAATAAATTCATAGGCTGAGAGGTTGACAAGACACTAAGTGAAAACTGAGTCACAATGTAGCCTGAGAACTGTGTATCTCATCATATACCTTCTTTCAGTTCATATAACTCACTCCTTTGCTTGCTATGGTGTGACTTGTTTACACAGCAAATTACTCAGCAATAAATACTCTGTAGAATCTATTGCATAAAACCTGAAATAACCTACAAAGACCATTCATTTAATAAGATTTCATTAATTAAATTAGGATTAGAGGTTCAGGTAGAGGGTATAAATTTTGTCAAGTGTAAGAGAACATTGCATATTGCAGCACATTCTTTGCCCTGCCACTCTTGTATTGTTGTCTCTGTTTTAACTTTCAAAAATAATCAGAATATTACAAATCAGAAACTGTATGTGTGCAAAATGCTGGAAAATGCTAATTGAACTTTCTGTTGAATATTCATTTTTAGTCTTAAATTGCATGCTGTTTTGCTTTGCCTTTATTCTCAGCCAATTTATGGGTTTGTCCTTTGAGGCCATGCAGAAGTTTCAGAATACATAAATTTCAATTGTACTCCAACCTCCTAGAGCAAATGTAAGAAAATGAGATATTAGACATCCTGTGCCCATTCATACCCACACCAAAGCTCAGGTGTGCATAAGGTCAAGGATGGGGACATTGGCCGTAGTTCCCATGAAGTACCAGACTATGACTGCTATTTTCCCTGTCAGTAAGGCTCAATAGAAGATTACTCCTTTCCCTGCCAAGTCATCAGCCTTGTCTCAGGGAGTTCAAAACTACTATACAGCAATACAACACCTTACATATAGAGTTATGTCTTTAAACAATCCCACTCACATTAATATTTAATTATTGGGTACTGAGTGGTTTGGTACTGAGGAGAGGTTTCTTCCTAATCCAAAAATGTCTCTCCTTCAGGAATTATATATTACATTTTTGTCATATTTCTTGAAAATACAATTTAACCATGAAGAACAAGATATAATTTCCTTTGTTTCAATTATTTCCTGTTACCAACACACCTGGTGTATAGCTAGTTCTCTTAAATATCTCTACATCACATTTTTCACATAGATTTGCAATGTGTGTGCTTGCAGAAGCAGAATCCAGCTAGAGCAAGAGTATTGCAAGATAAATGGTTTTTAAAAGAGCTTGTTCCTGGTCAAAAAGTCAGGATGTCACGGTTTCAGTGATTGGATTGGTGATACATGGGTTCAAATTCATCCCATTTAGGAACTTAATAAGGCACCTGAGTGGGGAGTGTAATGTTTTCCTTACACCCTCACAAAGAAGTAAGTTTGTAAGAAGTAAGAGAACTGTGTATCTAACACACAGGAAATGCCTTTCCTCCGTTGATTATATACGAATTCTGGCTTAGCTGCTCTCCTCAATTTCATGTTTCAGCCACATGTCTAGAGCTACACGGGGTGTGTTTTGTGCTCTCTACTCTGTGCACCAGAGCTATGATTTGTGAGCTTCTATGCCTGGGATCCTGGAAGAAGATTTGGAAGAGGGCTGGCATGATTCCAAAGACCAATGTGAGATTTCTAAGCATCCCTGAAATTTGATGCATAAAAATTTTTTTTTTCTTAATTTTTTGCAAGAAATGTCACTTTAGATGCTATGATGCTCAATTGATTGTCCACAGTACCTGGTCTTCCTTTCATTGTCGCTAGAGTAGTTTGTTTCTGGGAGATTATTTAGAGCCCTTGGAGGATTCTCATATGCTTTCTCAGTTATCCTAAAAAAAAAAAAAAAAAGAAACCGTACAACAAGAAAAAGACTTTTTAGAAATCGTCTTCATCTACACAGCTTTTAATTTACACTTAGAGCCATAAATGCAGAGGCTTGGGCTTGAAAAATAGGTAAAAAAAATTTTGTTTATCTTACTGTTGTTAAACTGTTGCTGGTGAAAAATAATGCAATCACTGACCTATAATTTTAAGTCCTCCAATTTATGCTGATATATTCAGATTTATTCATATCAGAAACTTCATCTAACTTTATTGAACTCTAGTTTCCTAGAAGTGCTTGCTGAGATTTTCAACTGCGCAATAATGTCTCAGTGGTTGATAGCGCTGTACTTTTTCTTGTCAGTATTTTATGATGTATTCTTAGGCTTACTGCATTTCAGTCCCAAATTTTCTTTCTTTAGGATATACTACAGTTATGTTTTTCTTAGAAATGACCAGCTAAACAGATACATAGACTCATTTCAAAAAGCAGGATTATTATTCAAGCAAAAGAAACCTTGCCTCTGCAGTTTTCCCTGCCACAGACATGACAGTCAAACAAACATAAAAATAAACCTTGTCATACAAATTATAGGATTTAAGGAATAAGTGCTAAAATGTTTTTGAAGATTTTACAAAGCAGCTCAGATAAATGCTACTGTTGTTTGATTCCGCCAAAGGTTCTGAAGCAACTTGATGATTACAATCCTTAACTCTGGATGTTTGGGCTGCAGCTTGATTTGTTTCAGTGAGCTTGCCAAGGACCAAAGCTCTGCAAACGACCCTCACTTAGTGCTGTCATGTTTTATATGCATAGCATGTGGCATGAAGCAGCACCCTCTGTTGTGACTCCTAACCGGGCATGCCCCCTTTCAGAACTAAAAGAGAAACTCATTCACCACAGATGCTCAGTATATGATTCTCTGGTCAGACTGTCAAGTGAAACTGCTAGGACAAAAATATTTTCTATTGAAAAATAGAAGAACTGCCTATGTATACAGATAGCTAATTCTTCCTCTTCATTTAGATATACAACTAAATGGAAGACTCAAAAAGATACCATCAGAATGGTAGCTAAAAACATATTACTAACTTCACTTTAATTGACCAAAATGGGTCCTAGCTTCTGCAAATAAAGAAACCTAGTAGCAGTGAAACCTTGTACTAGGAATGCATTTACTTATATTTGTTTGAGATGCTAGCAGCTGAGTTCACAAAACAGCCAGATAAGCACAAAAATGCTTATGAGGATCTTGTCACCAGTCATTTTCATTCCTTACAAGAGATTATATGTCTGAGTTGTTACTTATTACCAAAATACATGCAGTTTTATTGTTACATTTTGTTAATCAGTCACATTTTAGAAATAATACAGATATCTTACTTATGTTGGGCAAATTTTGCTTTCTTGTATTTGGAGTTCAAATTTCTGGTACCACACTAAACAGTCAGAACTGTTGATATTAGCTCTTCAAATTTTAGAGAAAACTACCAGTTAAGTCTCACCGCTTTTTACTTTGGTCGTCAGCAGACTTTACTTCAGTGTTATCACCAAGGTCCTCATCTCTGAAAGTGAGAGAGAATTAATAGAAGTATTTTATTTAATCTAAACATATTAAACGGGCTGAATTATTTATGTTGAAGAAGAAAAAAATTGTGTGCATTTCGCAGAGAATATTCCTTACTACAGTTAGTAGTTATCTGTTCAGGCTTCAATATTTTTCAGTTTCTTTCTAGTGTGACACCACAAAAGAATAACAAACAACTCAAAATCAACAAGTTCATTATAGTTTTGTAGGACAATTCAGGCTGGAATTCAGGGACCTCAGGGGCTCTCTAGTCCAACCTTCTGCTTAAAGCAGGGGTGGCTCTGAAGTCAAACCAAGTTGCTCAAGTCTTTGTCGATTAGGTCTTGAAAACCTCCAAGGAGAGAGATGGCATAACCTCTCCAGGCTACCTGCTCGGCTGCTGGACAGTCCTCCATATATCCAGTCAGAATCTCTCTTGTTTCAGTTTATGACCACTATGTGACATTGCGTTCCCATGCTACAGGTGAAGCATGTACATCTGCCAACATCTGCTAAACTGATCGTGGCTCTATCATTTTAAGTTGATAACAGAATTTCATTTCGTACAGGCATCAATACCATGAGCTATGGAAATGGCTTTCAAAATATGTTATTTGCTTTATTATTATATGCAGACCAAATTCCTCTTACGACTGCTGTTATCTAGGATTGTATACAATCTCTAGATCTATATGGCATCACATTTATACTAGTAGCTGATCAATCACTTACTGTGAAAAAGCAATGTCATATAATAAATTTCATATATTAATATATGTCATGTATATAATAATATAATTTTACATTAATATTGTATATTAATTGCCCTGTAATTAAACAAAAATGTTACCCATTGACAAACTGTTTCAGATTAAAAAAATGTCACCCAGGTTCCCATTTGAACACAAATTAAAATGTAATGATTTTTACAGAACAGAACCTATTAATACTAATATCCAATCAACCATCAATATTTTATGAGTATGTAAGAGAAAGATTATGACAAGCTCGCCTCTTATTTTTCTGATCAACAGTATTTATTTCAGTAAGATCCTGAAGGTGTTTTTGTCTGAAACAACAAACAAATACAACTGTTAAAATATTCCCCCTATCTAGGAAGGAATAAAGTGTCATAAAAGAAAGAAATATATTTATGCACACATTTTAAAGGAAAAAAGTAAATTGTTAGCTACGTTTGTGTTCAAAATTTGCAAACACTTATGTTCTTGAACATAATAAGAAAATATATTTACAATTTTCCCCTAGCAAGGTAAAGTTCTGTATAATTAAATAAAAATATTATCTATTATATCCAAGAAAATAAAAATACTTTAATCAGATCAATGCCAGAGTTTAAGACTGGTTTTTGCCAGTGAAGACAGTGAAGGAGAAACACGAACTTTCAAAGAATTTAGAATTAATTTGCAGGCTCCAAATAGCTTAATATGTGTTTGCATCAATAATTTTCAAGAATAATTTTTTTATTTAAAATAAGAAACTTCTACTTCTTAAGACAACATGTAGAAATATGTCCAAATTTCCACATACTTTGCTTATGGAATGGTGAGAAATTCCCTCTGTTTATCACCATGGTGAACAATTAAAGCATTGTCTGTATTTATACTGAAAATGTAAGCATCCAAAGACTCACATAGTTTACATATAAGGAAACATTTTTTTAAATTTCATAAATACAATTAAACTAGAGGCAAGTTTTTCCTCTGTATTCTTTACTATTTTAAAATGGTTCCAGGAATTAGAGGATCGAATGACCTATGAAAAGCACTCTTAACTACTGTAAAAAACCCCATGATACTCTTTAGGTAAATAGGGAGCAAAACAAAAGGCCCAGTTAGCTCTATGAAACTCGTAACTTGATCACTTCAATCCATGATAGGCTTATTAATCTTAAAACTTTGGATGATCCTACAATTCAGTAGTGTCTCAAAGCCTTGTACTTTATCCTATTAAATTATCTGTGAGTTAAAATTTCCAAAAAAAATTATACTCAACTTACAGGTCAGTGCTAAGTGTACATATGTATATATATATATATATATATATATATGTATGTATGTGTGTGCATATAGGTAAGATTGTCTAATGTGAAATAGATGATCACAGGTTGGCAACATTTTTGTGCTGTTACTGTTTAGAACATCAGTCTTGAAATTTATCTGCAGAATATCAGTGTTAGGTGTGACAAATATAACACAGCTCTTACTAGCATAGCACCCTGCCAGTTCCTTCCCTTCCATATGCTAAAGGGATGCTTGCAGACCTCAAGAAACTTGGCCTGAAACACATTGAACTGACACATTGTTCAAAAAAGTAAGTTCAAGCTGCTCTCTGCAGATCACTGCCCTTGCTGACTGAAATGCTTTGTTACACCTTGTTGGGGAAACCCTTATCATCTGTGAGTTCTATGGTATTTTGTTTACTGCCCCTTCTCTAACTATATCAGAATATGTCATTAACAGTTTAATTGCAGAAGCATATAAGGCACATATGGAAGCTTGCCATAGATATTACTTGTGATATTACTGATAGTGCACATGCCACTGAATTCATCTGTATTTTTATATTCATCATTCAGTATAAGGAATGCTACTTATTAATCTATAAAACATTTTCCAGATTTGCAACATTACCTTTCCTGACATTCTCATAGTTGCAAATTACTCACTGCTTTAGGAAAGTAGGGCCTGAGAAACTTTGAAGACTTACTCCTTGTCACTTGTGGAAGAACTTGGATTCGCTTTGCTGAGGTTATCGAGGTCTTGGTTCCTTTAGAGACAGAACAAACCCCAGATCGTGTCACAATCAGTATAACAAGCTGTCAAGTAGTCAAACTAAATAATAATTTTAAAAAATTATAATTGGCACAACCTTTATGAATGAAAAAAATTAACTGATTAAAAGTTCAAGGCATACATCATTTTAGTAATTCAAAGATAGTCATAGTCACAGCCATATGCCCCCCATATGCACATAAGCCCACACTCTTCCTGAGGTAATGGAAAAGTCCATTTGTCTTTTTGGTAGGCTATCTAGACCAGCTCCCTCCCAAGTAAACTCTCCGTTCTCACAAGAAAGTTCATGTTTAAAGTGAGGGATGATGAGATCTAGTTACATCCACTAATTCTTGAACTTCCACACAAAAGATAGGATGTGATTTATTATTATTAATATTATTATTATTATCTGTTGTAAGGGGAAAATATTATTCCTTGAATTAGCACTTGTTAGTTAATTAATTTCCTTTTTTCAATATACTAACATTAAAGATACAATATATATTAATGTAACATAACTATTAGAAATGGAAATTAACATATTTTATACTCTTTGAATGTAACTTTTAATGTTGTCAAGTCAAAACATGGAGTGTTTTTTTGACTACCTTTATTTCCCTTCAGAGGATTGTGCTGGTGTTAACATTTCTATAAAACACTTCATTTCCATGAAAATGCATTTTCAAAATTTTCAAACTCTTCTCCTGAAAATTTTTCAGCAGCTTTACCTGTAAAGTTAGCATCTAGTTACCTTAACTCCCTACAAAAAATTGATATATTTACTCCTCAAAAGAAAGCAATGGGAAAAGAATGATGCCTTTGATGATATGACAGTGCCACCCTATAGGACCTGTTCTGTAGCCTGGCAGTCAACAATGTTCCATGTGTCTCTTTACTGACTTTTCATTCTGACCTGTTCTGTCATGAAACAACAGCCTTTTCAGGTTTCTTCTTGATCATGTTTGTCAGCTTTGGGGTTCCCTTTGATGAGATTATCAAGAGTGCAAGAAGACTCTACTACCATTAACTACGATTCCAAACCAGTCCTTAATAAATAATATGCTTTTGGAAATTCTCTTTATATTATTGCAGATTTCACAGTTCCAGAGTATTCCTTCTGAAACTGTAGCCTTGCAAAACTATCCGAAGCTATCATTTCCTTTATGAGCTAACTGGATGGCAAATTGCTTCCTCAGTACGTGGAGGTAGCCACACTGAATTTATAGTAAGTGTAAATAAGGGCTCAGGTAGTTCCTTTAACTTATATTTTTGCAAATTTTATTTAAAAACAAACAAAACCACCAAAAAACCCAACTATGCACATCTGACATGAGTAATATATGCATTATAATTCTTGTTTCTTGCATCCTCCATTCCTTTATGTTCTTAGAGGTATTTTAAATATGCATCTGAACTCTCCTATGAAGCCTACCAAAGCTTTGCAATTGCAGCTGCCTCAATGATGATCTTTATGTGCTATGCAACCTGCACATATATATCAGCCTCAGTGTTGTATATTCACCCAAAACATAGAGAGCAGGAGATCTGGGACTCCTGTTCATTCTGGCTGAAGTCATGGGATTACAAGCAGTTTACTCAGCACAGTTATCAGTAGCCTTTCTGCTTACTTCTGCTGACTTTCACAGCATGGAGCAATAGAAAAGCTATGACAGTAGCAAAGCTGTGCCCTGCAGGCCACTATGTCTGTATGCTCCTATGAGTTAATTCCCTTCTGTAGTCTTTAAATCATAATGACTTTGCAGCCAACAGCATTTTCTTACTTCCTCATGCATTATTTTCTGTGCTTTGGGTATCCCAATACACTGACTGGCTTGCAAGGAAGATTTTACTTGTTATCCAAAGGGATAACAAAAGTAATAAAAGTCTAGGCTACATGTGCACTCCTGGTCAACTACAGCCTGATTTATAGAACTCTTAACTCTAAAGAGTCCTAATAAGCGAACAAAACCAGTTGCAGCTGCAGATTACAGCACAGAAATAAATACAGACTGACCTGTTCCCTATGATTTATGGTTACTATGGAACAAAACTTCTATAAAACACAACTCTTAGAAGGTATTAATTTATTGCACTCGTAACACTTCTCAAACTTTCAGCCTCATGGAACATCTTGACATGACTGCACCAAGTAATGAGGACTGGCATCTTTCAAGTTGCTTGCCTTGAGGTGGCTGGCTGGTGCAAAGGAGAGGTCATAGGATACACAACTTCAAGTTACTGGTTCAAGCACAGTTCAGGTTATTATCAACTAAAGTTAAAATTTGAGAGCTGTTATTTATAAAAGGATAAAATGTAAAGTAGGGCAAGCTACAGGACATGATGCATATCTCAGAATTTGTCTGATTATGTTCAGGGCATACTTTTGCTGACTTTTTAAATCACTCTGTTAGCAAAGCTATGTTTACTTTAGCGTTAGCACACAGTGAGCACCAGTGTTGATATCAGCACATAATCCAGCCTCACATTAAAAACTAGAGTGAGCGTGCATTATAGAGCCTAAACAGAATTTCAGGTTAGGTTTCGTTTGACAGTTGTTACACTGTTAAAAATCAGCAATACAATTTATCCCTTTTTTAATATTTCTAAAAGAGATGACAAGTATTACTGTGTGATAGAGACTAACCTATATTCATATACTGAAAAGGCTCCTTGCATATCAGAATATTAGATGTGGTGCAAGGCTGCTGTGGAGAAGGATTTCCAGTTGCAAGTATAACTGTCACTTGAAAAAACAAACTATTTTGGTGTCCAAGGCTGGCTGAATTGAATTCCTACTGCTTACATTTGTCAACAATTTTTTAAAATATAGATGATGATGGAAAACAGCGGCATAAAACTTCTATACAAAGCAGTTTAGACAAACTTGAGGAAATATCTTTCAAATATGGTAGGTGGCTTGTAACAGATGTTGGCATTTTTCTTAAGTCATTCCAAAGGATGCCACCTCCAAGCATAGTATCTTTTGTGACAGCCATTACATCTCTGTGAACATTCTGCCTGGGGTGAGTATTTTTGAAATGAATCAGAATGAGGTGGGTTAGACAGCCTGCCAGGAGGAGAATACACAGTTTACTTGCAAATTCAGTAAAATGAAATATTTTAATAAAAACTCAGGACACGACTGGAAGTTTTTAGAGGCACCTAACTCAGGATGACTAATATGTATTTTTTTATTTTGCAAAAAATAAAAATACAATTCCTAGAGAGGAATTTGTATCACCTTTTGTACAAAAGGATCTCAAGTATTGAAACAATGAATTAATTTATTCTAAAATAAAAACATTAAGACTTGCATTAAGACCTCGGTGTGCTTGTCATCATTGCTGAAGTATGGAAGACAATTCTACTGATTCATTTACTTTTCTGTTTGTAAGTGAGCTCCTTAAGAAAAAACTCTATTCTGCCTTTAACATCACTTTTCAGAAAAATGCTTAAAATAACATTGTGAATCCAAAAGGAAGCCTCACTCTGAAGGATAGAAAAAACTATGTGCAACTAGGCCACTGTGGCCTCATGCTGTAAACTTGGTAACCATGAATTTTGCTGCTGCTATCTGATATTTTGCCTCTAGCTGCTTGTGTAAAATAGGATTAGAAATCTGACAATTAATGAAGAGAGTGCAGTAGAATAAAAGGATAGCAAAGAACATAAATAAAAATAGGTATAAAGAAAAGCTGTCAAAACAAGCTGCATGTAGAATATATAGTTTAGTTTAACCAGGGACTCTTATTCTGCCATATCTTGACCCCTATGCCTCTCAGACACAAACAGAAAGGGAAATTATGTAACGCTTGTGTGACAAGCTCAACAGCTAAATTTCAAAAGCTTGGTATCTCTGACCCTGTATCAATATCATCAAATGTTTCTTCATTTACAGAAAAATTATCTTTTGCATTACCTCATTCCATTAATGTTAGGCATCTGGTGTCTTCTTTAATTTAATGTACAAATGATCTATGAACATTTTCAGTAAGTAATTTTTAAAAGTGTAAAAATTAATGTATTATGTAACCACAAGGTATGAGGTTTTTCCCTTTTATGCTTTGTATCAAAAAGTTAGCGAAATTGAGTTGTCTACATTTGGCTTTTATTTTCAGTCTGTATTTGATTTCTAACTCAGTTCACTTGAGATAAAGATCTAATACTTTTCAGTCCTTCTGCTCTGTGAACTATGCTTGTGAATCTCACTTATTTCAGTGGATAATAGTTCAGAAACTCTGGTTTAGCTGGTGACAAGTCAGATCACCATCAAAAAGAAAACCACAAATTAATCCCATCCACACGTTCAAGCACAGCTCACAATTTTTGTTGGGTTTTTAGTTGTTTTTTTTTTTTAATCTTGAAAACATTCAGATAAAATTTCAAATGACATGGAAGCAAGAAACACGTGTATCATGCGTACAAAAGAGCTTTAGCGATGTCGTAGTTGTTCAGTGAAAGCACTGAAAATCTTTCTAATGTTTGTATTTGCAAATTCTGAGAGCAATGAAGAAAAAGTCAATAAAAATACATTTTAAAAAGTTTGATTGCATTTTTTCTGACTGTTCTTAATGCTGAGGTGAAATTGAAGTTGATCCTGGACATATGTACTAAAGGAAGTGAGAAAGGAAATTTTAAACAGACTGCAGCCATGCTCTTGCATCTCAAGGACCATGCAGGAGAGTATGTGCCCACAACTCCCTAGTCATTCAGTGAATGCTTATTTAACCTGTGAAAGTCTTGCTGAGCCCCTATCTAGTTCCAAATGTTCCCTAACTCTTGAAGGCATTCTTACCTAGTTATCTAGAATTTCATCGTCCCTCTTTGCTGAGGCACCAATAGTTGACATAATACCCAAGCACCAATATTGTAGGTGTCATTTTATGGACTAGAAAACTGAAGGACCATGCGTATTGCAGAAGGTTTGCTGTATTGCCTTTAATGAGTTGGACACTTCATGTCAAATCCCGGGATACTCAGTAAGGTTTCAGA